GTACAACACCCTATGACATGATTAGATTTCATACGGCAAGCTTGATATAATCTAACAATTTACATCTCTACCGATTAAAGCTTAACATAGCACAAAAACACATATCTAGACCATGGGTTACTAGAAAGCAATACAGCAAATATGTATTCAACACAATATGATATGAAGCAACACCATGTAATATAATACTGTATGATGGAATGGAATGCAATAGAATAACCTTGAGCGTAATAGAATAGAACAGAGTCTAATAATGTAATAGAATACAGTCTACGACAGACTCGGAAACATGTCTCCTTACGCCACACCAAGGCCCCAAAAGCAATCGAAACACAAACGAAACTTTCCGCGCCCAACCCCGTCCGCCTCCCCCTGCCTCGGAGCCTGGGTCCAACCAACAAAGAAAAAGATGGGCAACACAAAGCGGAAGAAGGAGACCGGATTCAGAACATGTTGATTTTCTTGTAGGACCCGGGGCCGAACGAGCGACACATTCAAAAAGTAGCCTTGACGGGCGGTTTGGCTCCCCTAAGTGTCCGTGCTTGAGGGTGACAGCAATATGTCTCCCGGGGATGGGTGGCGTTGTCTCCCCCAATACGCCCGCCTCCCGCAGGGGGGAGCCGCCGCCCCGTGGGCCCCTCTTTGCTGAAGGGAGAGAGGTCGGCCAGACCGAGACGCGGCCAAGCGTGGCCGGCGGCGACGCGAGAACGCATAGTGTCCTGGTCGTCGTCGTCGTCGCCGCGGCCGTCGTTGTTTGGAATGGGGCGCACGCCATTTGCTGGGGATCTCCCGCGCGATTGTTTTGTTTGGGACTTGTTTGGGGCCAGATTCCACGCGTATTTCCAAGGACGCCTCAAGCTCGTTTCCAAATGTTCGGAGCTGTGGAACCGTCAAGAAACCATTTTGGCGAGGACGCCCCACGCGGTTTGGCATGTTAGAACCGCCATCCCATTGTGCGGAACCAGGCTCCAATCGGAAGTCCCAAGCGAAATGCTCGTTTTCGAGTCGTTTAGAACAACATTATATTGCTTCGAACCGTCAAGACAGCAATTTGTGTGAGGATGTCCCACGCGATTTGCCGTTTTCGAACCGCCATCCTTCTGTTTCGAAGCGGGTCGGACGCCGATGCGCCACGCGGTCTGCCGTTTTCGAACCGCCGTCCCGTTTGGCGTAATGAAATTTCAGTCAATGTACCAAACTCTAGGTTGTCTTCCGCCCCGAAAGGCTCCACGTCCCCAACGGGGCGACTGGCGACGTGCGCTCGCATTACGGACGCAAGATGCAATTGCCGATCCGTCAAAATCGGCCAATCTTTCATCACGGCACAGTATTTGGGGCAGTGGGTGTGGGACGCAGGGTGCATTTTTGCCGATCCGTCACAATGGGGCAATCTTTCATCACGGCACAGTAACCGAGGCAGTGGGTGTGGGACGCAGGATGCAGTTTTGCCGATCCGCCAAAATTGGGCAACCTTTCATCACGGCACAAATCGGGACAATGGGTGCGGGAATCCGAAGCGCAGCGCGCTCGGCCACCACATCGTGAAACCATCTCTCACACAAAGCCTCCTGTTATGCGGCATTGGACCATGTGGCCGCGTCAGGAGAAAACTTGTTCCAAGCCTGCTATAATACAAGATAACAGCATAACAAAAACATATTCACATATACATAATGGCCTTCGGCCCATCCCACCACCGTGCCAGGGTTGCGGGTACGAAGCCTATTGGATGTTCGTTTGGCTCTTGCGGTAGGCCTCGGGGGCTTTTTGGATGCAGTTTTGAAGCCTCTTGGGGGCCGTCCATGGGACCGCTTGGGGCTTCTTTGGGGCCTCTTGGGGACATCGGGGGGGCCTCTTGGGGCCTGTTGGCGGCGAGGCCTCGTGAATGTTCGTTAGGATGTCGTGGGGAGCCTCTCGGGGGACTCTTGGAGGCAAGTACGACGCAAGCAATGTCGAGGCGCATGCTTCGAAGCCAATTAGCAGAGCGACGTCTCGCGAATCCCACGCGGAGCATCCCGTGAATCGCATGCTTCGAGGCCCATAAGCGGAGCGGCGCTCCGCGAATCCGACGCGATGCATTCCGGGAATCGGCGCGCACGATTCGGGCCAATTTGCGGAAGGGCGTTCCGCTAATCCGACGCGGAGCATTCCGGGAGTCGGCGCGCATGTTATCAGGCCAATTAACGGAGTGGCGCTCCGCTAATCCGACGCGATGCACCCCAGCTATTGGAGTCCGGGCCCCTTCAAGATTCCTCAGGAGGTGAGGGCTGAGGTTCACGGGGTTGGGCAAAGGACCTGAGGACACGCCCACTCCGTGCCCAGCGGCACGAAGAATAAGGGCGAGGAGACTAGAAGAAGAAGGAGGGGAAAGAGGAGGGGAAGGAGCAGGGGAAGGAGGAGGGGAAGGAGAGGGGAAGGAGAGGGGAAGGAGCAGGGGAAGAAGAAGGAGGGGAAGGAGAGGGGAAGGGGGAGGGGAAGGAGCAGGCGGGGCCGCGCACAGGCTGCCGCGCTCTGTTGTGTGCGTCTACGAGCAGGTCGCCGCCGCCTGCCGCCCTCGCTCACTCTCCCCGAGAGGCTCGGGCTCTCTTGCCGTCTCCTCGCCACGCCTTGCTCGAGTCCTTCCTGGCCGCCTCCCCAGACAGCCGGCGGATGAATGAGTTCAGTCCTTGCGTTTTTCGCACATCTCGGCCTCCGGGAGCCTCGTTCGGGCCCAGGGGTCATTGGCTGGAACGAAGCACGTGCCTTCTGGAGGGATCGAGAGTTCCAGGGCGCACGAATGGGAAACAACAAGACAAGGCGAACGGTATCAGTGTATTCCCTGATTTTCAGGCGGCGCGGGACACAACGCAATAAGCACAGTCAAATTTCAGAATACGGAGGCCGTTTTCGGGCCCCCAGGTCCATCAAAAACTTTTCGGTGACGGCAAAGCGGCGTGGCAGATGGGATCGAGAGTTCCGGGGGCCCACGCCGTGAAAAATCGGCAAGGTCGGATTCCATTTGGCTTCATTCTACGCAAAGAGATCCTGCCCGCTACACTACAGCTCACATTATCCCACCATCGTCCTCCTCCTCCTCCTCCTCCTCCTCCTCCTCCTCCTCCTCCTCCTCCTCCTCCTCCTCCTCCTCCCCTCCCGTTCCTGACCCCCCCGCCTCCTCCCTTGCCCCCCCTTCCGCCTTGCACAGGTGGCACAGCAGGATGCCTTCGGCCGCATCATGTGCGCGCACTACGCCGGGATTGACAGCCCGCTCGGTGCCCCGCAGCGGTATTTGTGAGGCCGACGCCATTTGCCCTGAAGCGGAGACGATCGCGGCCTCGTAGCTCAGCCTGTAGCCCTCGCAGCTAAGCTGGTAGCTCTCGCAGCGCACCTTCAGGTCCTCGTCGCCAAGAATTGGGATCCAGATCACGTCATGAGATAAAGTAGTGTTTCGGCACGTTGGTTTCACTGGGCAGCGGCACACAGGTTGACCGACGATATTTGTAAGCGCACACGTGTGATGTTTGGGGTGTTGGTCCGCGCGCGGATGCGGAGCGTAGAAGAACGGGAAAGTAGGCAGCGGCGCAAGGCTGATAATCGAGGTTTCAAATGGCATGGAGCCGGCCGCACAAGTTTGTCCGTGCGCGCCGTGTACATGCCCATGTTTTGGTGTTTGTTATTGGCTCTCTCTGAGTATCCAGCGACAGTAACCGGATCTGATCGTGGGCAGAGAGGACATTTGCGGTGCCACGGTCAGAATATGTTCCGCAATACACAACTGCCGCTCGCTTCCGTTCTTTGAAATGTCGACGTTGATTGCTAGTCGGCGCAATTGTGTTCATTTCTCGTGCATCCGTGAACGCCATCTGACCCGAGCAACATGAGACATGAATTGCCTGTCCTCCGTATGCCGGATAATGAGCGTATTGCGGCTTCGATTTGGACGAATTGGTGGAAGCCCGTAACCAATTTGGGAAAGGAAATCCATACATATTTCGAAGCCCGCGGAAAGGATTACGCCACAGGCCATGGCGACATGGAGCATCCATGATCTTATCCAGCACGGTGGTTGTTTTTTATGGTCACCTTGTGCCACTTGGGAAGTACAAGTTGTCTAACACGCTTCGACATAGGACATCGCACGGGTGGAAGGTTCTCAAAGCATCGTTTTCGATGACACCCCTATTCATCGAAGATGCTTGCGGCCAGCCATCGCCGCCCCCTGCAATTTTGGAAACGCCAATGTGGCCAAACGTTCGGCCCAAGTCTGGCGATGCTTTTGGAGTAAGTGTGTGTTCTTCCAGCCGCTGTGGAAAGCCTTGGACGAACACCTTGGGAGGGAAGAGAGATAGGGAGCGGGAGGACAGGGAGGACGGGGAGGAGGAGGAGGAGGAGGAGGAGGAGGAGGAGGAGGAGGAGGAGGAAAAGAAGACCTCGTGGTGGGCCTTTGGCGCCATCCTGGGGCATCTCGGGAGGGTGTCAAGATGACTCCCGCATAGTCCTGACAGAGGTCTTGTCCGTGTTGAAGCCAAGATGGACTCTCGGGCCAGGCCAGGGCTCTAGCATCTCCCGATTTTGCCGTCAGTAGATGGCTTGAAGCCCTCGTTCTCAGAGTTGGCCCCAAACGTGCGCCACAAATCCTCCAGGACCCCTCGGGAGGCACGTGTAGGCGATGTTGAATTCTTCGCTATGGCGGCCTCAACATGGCTTCATCACGGGCCCGGAATCTTCGAGGACGAAGGGGGGGAGGGGCTTACCATCCCCGGCGTGCGACCCCCCATAGTTCTCGAGGATGGTTGGCCCATGTTGAAGCCGTGCCGACGATGGCGGTTGCTCAAGAAGCTTACGCCGTTCGGCCGACCCCATCCATGTGGATGGGCATATGGAATCATTTCCGCTTCCCGCATCCTCAGCGGACCTGCGGGAGAAGTGAAGCGCATCGAAAACAATAAGACACAAGAAGCTTAATGGTGTTGAGTTGGGAAGAGATAGGAGTTTGAGTACCATTGGTGTCATCTTCGAGATATCCTGGCGTTTACTTGGCCGCCTTTGAAGCCCTATTTGCTTTGATGCCTCTTGGGGCCTCGCGTGGCGCTTTGCCGCTGCCGTTCGCGCGGCGACGACCCCGAATGATATTCTCTCACCGTAGTCACGACGCGGGCATCGTGTTGGTGCGCATCGTCGTGGCATCGTTCGGACGTCTGCATCTTTTTCTCGGCGGGGATCATCGAGGAGTATCCTGGACCATCTCGCGTCAATAAGCGCACGACGGCGAAAAGTGCACGAAAAATGGACGTCCGAGCGATGGCAAGTCGTGTGTATGGCCACTTGGGGTCCCTCTTGGGAGCCATCCTGGAGGCTACCGGTCCAGAAAAAGTGGTCCAGAATCAGGGTCCCCCCCCTGGGGGCCCAAGATTCGCCTCGTTGGGCCCTCTTGGCACGCTCCTGGGCGCTTTGAGGGAGGCTTTGGAGTTGTCTTGGAGCGATTACGGACCCCTCTCGAGACTCTCTTGGGAGATCTTGAGCCATCTTGAGACCACGAAAGCCCATCGGAAACGAATCAAAAAAAGCTGAAATACGATAAGTTGTTATTAGTTTGGCCTCTCGGATGTCAAGGGTCCCAATCGGGGGATTCAACCTGCCGTTCACTGCAGCCCAAGGAGACCGCTGCGCACGTGGTTCGATGTTGCCGGAAGCTTCTTGACGTTCGCATATCCCCACCCGCCCATTTTGCAACGATCCCCAGGTGGATTGCATTGATCACGGAAGTATGGGAGCACGCAGCGGAACAAAAACGTGGGGCAGCCGCAAAATCGAAGATCGGAATCAATTTGAGCAGGCCAAGGGTTCTACCATGAATGTTCTCGCGGCTCTGTTGATATGGGAGCCTTTTGGCAATTTATTTGGGCAGTCTTGGGGTTCTCTCGAGGCCATTTTGGGGGCATTGGGGGCTCTCGTGGGGCCCTTTTAGGGTCATCTTTGCGGGCCATCGATCCAAGAAGGGGCGGTACTAATTACGCCCCCCCCTACGTCTAAGAGATCGCCTCTTGCGGCGCTCTTGCGCGTTGTTGGCCCCCGCTTGGAGCCCTCTTCGGCGATCGGAGAGAAGGCGAGAAAAAAGTGTGTATATATGTTCGTATGTAGCAACAAGTGAGATGTGTGGTTGTTGCCCTCGCCCGCAGCGTACCGCACAAGCAGGATATGCATTCAAGTCGAATGCGGCTTCCCGAATTTTGATTCCTGGCGTGAAGTCAATCCCGCTTGCAATTCGGAACGGATGCATCCGCGTGAACAAAAAATATCACATAAATGGCACGGGGGTGGAAGCGGAAGAGTTGTTCAAACAGTGAGGTCGGGGCCCTTCGCATTAAGTCCCATCTGCTTATCAATGTTATGAAACACCATGAACGGCTGATTCTGCGGTGCCCGGCAGGCGTCTCCTTGGGGTTCAACTCGTTACCCCAGTGCGACCCTACCCAGAAGTTGGAGCCCCTAGGAAAGCAGCATTAGTTGCTATGCCATGCCATGCCATGCTATGCTGCGCTATGCTATGCTATGATATGCTGCGTTATGCTATGCTATGCTGTGCTAATATATGCTATGTCATGCTGCGTTGTGCTATGATAAGCTATGTTATGCTATGCTAAGTTGCGCTATGCTATGCTATGATATGGTGTGCTATGATATGCTGCGCTATGCTATGCTATGTTATGCTATGATTGGCTATGTTATGCGATGCGATGCTATGCTACTGCAGCGCTGCGCTATGCTAAGTTAAGCTAAGCTAAGCTAACCCTCTAGGCAGAGCCTAGGTACGGAATTACACCCATGGTATGGTATGCTACGCTATGCTATGCTGTGATCTGCTATGCTAAAGCTCAGCGAAGCTAAGATGAAGGTAAGCGAAGCTAAGATAAACCTGAGTTAAGATGAAGCTAAGCTAAGTAAAGATGAAATAAGCTAAGTTAAGATGAGATAAGCAACGCTAAGCTAAGGGGACGTAACTGAGGGAACCGCGGGGCGGATACTGGGGGAACCGCCCGGGGCGCTTTCCACTGCCCGTTTTTTTTAGCCCAGAGAGTAAGACATAGCTTAGGTAAGGAATAAGATGGAGTTTGAAACCAATGCGTGCGGCCTGGCGAAGGACCAAGTAGGAACAACACCCGGGCATGAAGTGGCATCCGCCTCTCAATGTTGCGCGCAAGCCAACAGAAGACATGTCGATCATTTGCCCTTGGTGCACCCCTGCACGCGCTACCAGCATGGAAAAGCGAATAGCACTTGATGATCCTCCTGTCGGCGCTGTCGTTGGCGGATGATTTGAAATGATCGTTTTGTGGATTTCGTCGAGATTTTTCCCGGCTGTGCATCAATGCTGGTTTGCCGCCTTCGCGTGGGCTCAAAGTTATGAAAAGGCATGTTTTGGGACGAACTCGAAGAGTTGGCCCTCGATATCATGCCTGCCGCGTTCCACTTGCGGACTCCTTGGGCGGTGACTAGCTACCTTTCGCCAGAATGCCCGCACGAGGCGCTGCCTTCTTGCCCGGCCGTGCAGTCCATGCACTGCTGTGCCCAGGAACGCTCGCCGGCCCCTTGCCGTGGGCGAGCGCGGTGGCGGCCTTGAGCTCGGTAGCCGCGGGCGTCGCGTCGGGCCGCGCTGGGGGCGCGCTGCTGGCCGGGGGCTGGCAGCGACACGCGAGGGGGACGGAGGCCAGCCCCACGTCGGCGCCGGCGGGCGCCGGGGCAGTCGCGGCGGCCGCCGCGCACCCGCGAGCTCGAGTTCGGCGGCGACTCGGAGCACAGTGGCTGTTCGTCGAGCTGGCTGTTTGGACGGTGGACATTCGGGAGCCCCAGATCCTGGCCCAACAGCCCCACGCGCTCGATGCGATCGATGTCCAGACCCTCCTGGGCCATGAGGCGGCAGGCCCAACGGCGAGCAGTTTTGCTGGTCGGCGGCGACGTTAAGGACGCCGAGGCTTACGCGCGGTTGGTGGCTCGCGCGTTCAACGTTCTTTTCGGGAAGCTCGCGCCACAGGACCTCGTCGAGGATCAGGTGCGGCGCGCCCAGCTTGATTACCGCGGCGTGGCAGCGATTGACAGCGAGTCTCGCATCGCGACGCGGGTGGCCCTAGACGAGGAGGACGAGGGATTTCCAGCCGACGTGAGGATGTCGACGCCATGCGCGGGCTCGGCAGCCATCGACCATGCGTCGGCCGTCGGGATCTCAATTTCCGGGGCGCCGTCAACTCCACGGCCAGAGAGAGGGCCTGCCTGGAGCAGTTGCAGTCGATATCACAGGGCGCCGGGGATCTCTTGATCTACTGGGCCGAGCAGCAGTGGCCAAGCGGCGCGGCCGAGGGCGGCCATAACCCGAACCGCGACCACCTCTGTCGTCTAGAGACGCTTTGGAGAGCGATCTGACACGACCAACTGGACGCAGGGAAACTAATGTTTCCCGAGCACTTCGCGCGGGGGGCGACGCAGGCGGAGATTGCGATCCAGACCCCGCGCTACCCCCGACACCTCGGGGCTGGAGGCCGCGGCCGCCGGGTCTCGCGCGGCCGGCGGCGCCGCGCAGGCGCCCGAGCGTTTGGAGCACGTCGCCAGAAGGCAGAAGGACAGGGCGAAGATCCTGAAACAGTTGCGGCAAAGCCAGCCGACGGCGGCGAAGCGAAGCCCAGGCACGGGCGGCGGCGCGCGCGAGCCCGACGACAGACCGGATCCCACGCGGAGGCAGATGCGCGCGGCGGCCCAACCGGAAGGGCGGGCGCAAAAAGGGAAGAGCGACGACGCTTCTGGAGATCGGCGCTCGCGCGAAAGGCCGCGCCAAGCCCGCCGGCTCCGAGCACCGTCCGCGGGGAACCAGCGAGCCGCCAAGCAAGCACGGGTGGCCGGACAGCCCCCGGCGGCCCCAGAACGCCCCGCCCCTTTTCCCTTTCATCATTGGAGGAGCGGCACTCGGGCGCCCCGAGGTACATTGCGCGGCGCCGGCATCGCAGAACACGGAAGCAACAGCGTTTTAGAAGAACGGCTGAGGCGCTCGACCACCTCGCTGCTTCGGACGATTCCAGTTGATGGCAAGGTTCATGGCGCGCACCCACGCGGGTGCCCCCCGAGCTCGGTCCATAGGAGTGCCCTCGCCCGCGCGGACGCGAGGGTCGAGGCCTACGGCGAGCCACCCGCGAATCGACCGTTGGTGGGCGGTCTTTGCAGGAGATCTTCAAGTCCGCCGACCAGCGCGAGCTGGCGCCACAGCACTTGGGGGGCAATGACTTGGGCCAACCGCGCCAGAGTTGGAGGCAAGGCAAAAATCCCTTGGAGGGCCCCGACCCCCGATGGGGATCTCGCCTTGCGTCGGGAGTGGTCAGTTCGTCAAGATGCCCCCCGCCAACTGGGTCGAAGCAGCGGGATTCCGCGGGGCAATCAGGGGCCGCCGCAGGGCCGCCCTCGCGCATGGGAAGGCCGCGTCATTTTCATCCGCGACGTTCGGCAGGCCAATTTTTGTCACCGTCAGCAACCTCGAACTGCCCGCTGCGCATAGCGAAGCCAGTATCAGCCCGCTGCCACGGCGGCGCGCTGGAGCTGCCGCGTGGCCTCCACGCGCCAGGCGCCGACGTGAAAAATTGCCAGCTTGAGCAGGGGGATATCGCCAGCTGGTTCAGCCTCGATTGTCCGGAGACCGTCGAAGAGCGGGGCCCGGGGATCACCGAGGCCTGCGACGACGACGCGATGGGCTCGACGCTCGCGAGGGCCAGGGAGTTGATTCATCGGGCACTGCGGGCGCTCCCGAGGTGCCGAGCAGCTGTCGCTGCAGGACAAGCGAGCCGCCCAGCTCTTGCTGCTTGGCCGCCCTCTCTGCGCATGGCACGTGGACAGTTCCACTGACCTGGGCGGCGGCGAGGAGGGCGTGGCGGCAGGCGCCAAGGGCTTCGAGGCGGCCGCCAACCAGGCCCGCCGGGAGCTCCATTCGCCCGAGGCTGCGACACAAGCCACCGCGTCTGGCGCTTCCAGTTCTGGACGAAGGAGCTCCTTTCAGGACGTCCACGCGTTCGCGGGCGGGCTGGGCGCTCCGAGCGTTATTACCAGCTGCGCGGCATGAGCTTCGGCCAGCCACAGCGCTGGTCTTCCTCTAAAAGTCAACCCCACCGCCCCGCGCGACAACGAAGACCACGTCTCCGACTCGTCGACTGGCGGCTACGCGCCAGAGGGAGCGTCGGCGATCCGCCCGAGCAGGGGCCGAGCGCGACGACGCCGACCACTCCGCCAGCGCCCACCTGGCCAACCGCGGGGCCGGCCGATCGACGAGGAGCCGGACTCCCCGGAGTCCGCGGACGTCCAGTTTCGCGGCGACTGGCCTGCAGGAGCCTGGTCTTCGACCGAGTTGTTCTGGCCCGGCTCGGCGCCGCGGCGTCGCGGCAGTCGGCAGTTTGGTGACGCGTAGGGAGGTGAGTTGATCAACGTTGCTCCCGAATTGCCGACGTTCCCGGCCGCTCCAGAGCCGGTAGTACCCCAGGGGGCACATCAATGTCACGTAGGCGCGGGTTGGCGCCATGGGCTCGCGGCGGGCCTGTCGCGACCCCCGGCGCCGCGGCTAGCACCTCCGCCCCCTGCGCGACACGAATTGACCTGCTGCTGCATGGACAAGGGTTGGGCGGGATCGAGGGGGCTGAACGCCCAGTGCACCTGGGCCGCTGGCTACGCCGCGGGCTGCGGAATCCCCTGGCGCCCCCCGGGACGCACGACGGATTTCTGCATGGCGGACCGCGGCTCGCGTCGTCGCGAGACCGCGGCACCTCGGTGGCTGAGCGAGGTTAAGGCGGCTTGTCGCGCCTCGGGTTGCCGCCAGCTGCCTCGCCCCTTTCTCAGACACGTCCTGAGGCACATCAGAACATCATCACCACCTACTCTTTCTTCCTCGCCCCCAGGGCGTCACAGCCCAGCACGGCTCCGCTCGGTGCGAGCCGAGGCAGCCTGAGCGCAGCCCTGGGAGCCGCGCAGAGCCTCTGCCACCCCGCACTGCTCGAGAGTCGGAGGCCCAAAGCGCCCATCGAGCTATTCCCAGCACGGCGCGTCCCCGCAGGGCACTTCAGCCTGCGGTCCTCAGGGCGGGCCCCTCACTCGACATCCGAATGTGCGCGTTGCTTGACCTCTCGCAGCGTACGACCCACAGGTTGGCCTTGAAGTTGATGCGGTCTGGCAGAGTCTGCGGAGTTCACCCAGGTGCATTACGCAGCTTACGAGGCATCGCCAGGAAGGGGATAGGGGACCTTAAAGGGGACCGTGCCACGGAGCGGTTGGGCGTGGAGTTCGCGGCGCTCACGCGCGAGATTGCTCGCGTTTGTTATCGGGGCGGCGTCTTGTGGCCCATGGGAACCCAGCTTCATCGGGCAAGTGGCGTTTTCGTCCGGTTGGGGATTGGCCGGGCCACGCCAGCCCACGCCAGGTGAAGTACCCGATGACCGCCCGCGGGGTCCCGCGCCACGAGTGGAAGGCACCGCTCACCAAGACGCCCCCGCTGGCTTCGCTGGCGGCGGAGCGCGCCCACGCCACGCACCCTCGTCTCTGGGGTCGAGCGAAGGTTTCAGGCGAGCAGGGAAGCATGAGATGGGCTCGCCCACGCATTTGGCGGGTGCGCATCCTTCAGCACGTTGCTCAAGCTCGGCTGCGAGCCCAGCCTAGGCAGCCGCACTTTTAGACATTCGGCGATGTTGCGCACTCTAGGGCGGCGCGGGCGGCTCATCTGGAGACGCATGCCCCACGACTTTACCGCGGCGCCGTTGGCGCCGACGCGCAGGCGATTGACGCGGCAGTGGGCGGCGACGCGCGCTGTGCGCGGACCGGCAAATACCGCGAGCGGCACGGCGTCCTCTTCGCGCATTGCAGCGCGGCCGCGCGGGCAGCCCTTCGCGCTCACGGAGATGCGCTGGCCCGCCGCGCGGAGAGCGGCAGGGTGCCTGGGGCGCGCCGACGGCAGGCGCCCGCAGTTACGCCGCCCGCTCGCGGCCGCTCTCGGGCCGACTACCTCGAGCTGCAGAGCGCGCCCGACGCCACCCTCGCCACCTCGCGGGCCTGGGGGGGGTCTGGGTTGCGGCGACAGCTTCGCACCCAACAAAGCAACAACCTCCACGATGCAGACGCCAACATCGTCGACTGGATGACGGAACTCTGCATCCCGAGCTTCGACTTTTCGGCGGGCCGCAGCGGGCCCATCGGCTTCTTGCTGCTCCGCGGCGACAAGTACGAGCTCGGCGTGGGCCGCGATCACTTGCCACGCGGCCTTCGCCAAATCGAGCGATGGAGCAAGTCGGACCTTGGGGCTGCCAGTCGGAGGCCCCCTCGCCCTGGGGGAGGTCCAGCTGGAGAGCGAGTGGCGGCGCAGACGGGCAGTTACTTCAGGCCGCCAGAGGCGCTGGAGCTCCGCCCCGAGGACGCGCCCATCCGGGCGGCCGAGGCTAGCGCGAAGCACGCCAGCAAGGTCGCGCTCCACATCGCGCTTCGAGCGGGCGGACGCGCCAGCAAAACTGGCATCTTCGACGACGCCGCGGAGGTCGGCGTGGCCGGCCGCTGGCGGATCAAGATATCGCCGCGGCGCTCGCCGACGCCATTGAGAAGGCTTTTGCTCGCACTCCTCAGGCATCTAAGCCTCACGGTCCTTGAGGGCCCGCCCACTGGCTTCGTCACTCCGGGCCTCGTTTCACGAAAGCCTCCTATTTGTTGGCTGCCCGGAAGCGACCGTTTCAAGTCTGCGAAATATTCACAAGCAGCTCTCCACGCATGGCGTCGTCCAACAGTGGAACGCAAAGCAGGGATCGTCGTCTCTACCCAAGGTCCTCTTGCACGCGCGGCGCACGGCATCCTCAGTCGCCCAAGTTTCGCCGTCCTTCTTGGGCCCCCAGCTCCAACGGGGGGCCCAGGAGCTCGGGCAGTTAACCCCGTGGCGCTCGAGGAGCCTCGGGCCATCAGCATTACCAGTTCACTTCAGAGTTGCAGTTCCTCTGCAAGTAGCGTTCAGTCCCGAGCTCGATCGAGCTGCATTGAGGCCTTCTGCGACGTCGCTGGGCGCTAATCAGGCTGCGAGGAAGTCCCCAGTGCATGCCGGCGAAAACAGCGTCGTTCATCGCGCCAGTCTTCCAGCAGAGCTGTCTCAGCGGATTTGAGAGAAAAAATGCGTGATTGCTCGTAAGTGCTGAGAGGATGTTGCATCTCCGGGGCATCCCCAGGAAGCGCACAGGCCATTGGGAGCCTGTCTGGGGCGGTCTTAAGATTTGCTGGAGGCATGCTGGCCACTAGATAACGCGAGCCATCTCGGGCTATCTGGGGCCCACGCGGGATCACATTGCACGCCCCAACCCCGCGCGGCGCCCCCGCCCGAAGATCCAATGAAGGGGGTGAAAGAAATAGACCTCACCCCGAAGGAAGGCGGGAAGTGGGAAGAACCAACTCCCAGAACCGCCTGCGCCCAGAGGGCCGGAGGGACTATTTTGCTTGGCCCCTCCCCGAAGTCGGCCCGTGGAGTCAGCGCGCGGGGCCTTCGCCGCCTCGCGCCACAGACACGGGCGGCCCGTGATCTCTCGGGCCGGGTCCCCCCAGGCCCCTCCGACCCCGGGGGTCCTGTCGGGGCGCGGTGGCAGAGCGGAGTCTGAACACGTCTCCGAGGACTCCGAGAAATCAGGAGGGGAAAAAGCACACAGACACAATGAATTGTCGATTCCCCAGAAAATATGGGAAAATATGGGAAGTGGGGGGAAAGACAAAAACACAGAAAACATGGGGAATCTTTTTATTTGTGTGTATTTATTTGTGTGTCCCAGGGCCCCTTCAAGAAATCACATTGCGAGTCCCGAAAGCCTTCGGGAACGCCTTCGGTTTGCGATTTCCTATGCAGCGGCCCCGATGAGGAGGGACGCCAGCACGCACCACTCCACGCGACGAACCGCGGCGGCGAAGCGAGAGCATGGATCGCGCGAGCGTTTTCGGTTTGAAGTAGGAAGCCCGCGCGCGCAGTTGTCGTCATGTCCGTGCGCGGCATATCATATTCCGTGGCAACCGGGTATACATAGAACAACGAAGATTGCAACACACGTTTGAGGGATTGTATTCCGACGACCCTGATATCAATGAGCCCCGCTCAGGAACCACCTCAAAGAGTTTCTCGGTCATTGAAAAGTTATGTTGACATCTGCTTTGCGATGACAATGCGTAATGTATGCGTCCTTCATAAAATTAATGTTACCAACGATGGGAGACCCACGAGGATAGCACACAACAATAGTATCAGTCCATGCTTTTATTATCACTGGGCGGATGGTGAAATTTAAATATCGGCGGATGTACGCATCATTCGATTTCTCATTTTGACGTCGGTACCTCATATGTTTCGATATTTATGGCGATATGTTAGTCTCACTATGTATCGCCCCGGCATTTATATCGATCAGCCCCATTGTATGTTTCGGGACAACCATTGGGACGGCAATCGGGAAAACCATCCGATCACAAACCGGAAGAAAAACCTGGCCAACCATCAGGAGGACAATCGTTTGGATAATCATTGGAACATGTATCAACGATCGAAATAATCCTCGGTATTATCGGGATCAAAAGCAATTCACAGACGGCAGCGAATCTGACATAAGACGACTTCTTCGGCAGTAACTTCTAGGGATGGCAAGATCTCGTGCAGCTTCGCCCCGCACGATACGAATGAAAAGATTTTCCCAGGGTGCCCTCATTTCACCTTGTGTCGCCCTCATGTCAAGCCCCAACCAACCCACAATCGCAAGATGTGGTAAATGCGGAAAACGAACACGGAATCTGGAGCATGAGATCTGCAGGTATGATCTACGAACACGGCGTCGCGTTGGCTCGTCAACACAATCAGACATAAATACATGTATACCTATATGTATGTCTGTCTGTCTGTCTGTCTGTCTGTCTGTCTGTCTGTCTGTACGTATGTATGTATGTATGTATGTATGTATGTATGTATGTATGTGTGTATGTATACTTATACACCTGCCAGCATACATACACACGTATACTCGTTTATACACATATATATGCATATACAAGATTGCAGTGGCGCTTCGCGCCATGCACCTTGGCCCTTGAAGTTTGGTATGCATGCGGAATAGCAGGAAGGGCAAGCCGACAATTTTGCGATAACTCTTTGTTGCCTTGTTCAGCATCGCCGCTATTATAATATCATTCGTCATCCTGCTGCCATGCTTCTTTTTCTTCATTTTCGCCATGCCCTGCACATTCTTCTCATCCTCCTCAACTCTTTTTTTGCGGAGGCTCATCCTTGGAGAGCCTTTGGAGGCCTCACAAAAGTTGTTTCACGCTTTCTTAAGGCCTTCTGGAGGCCTCCTGGGCGTATTCTGGGGGGCTCTGGGGGCTTCCTCGGGCCACCCTGCCTCCAACCGCGGTCTCCCTGAACGACCGGGTCACGATTTGGAATGATTCGGAGGGTGTTTTGGGGCCATCTTGGGCCGCCATGGGGCTCTCTAAGGGCCATCTTGGACCCGTGTTGTGCTGTTTTGGGGCTCTCTTGGATTGCTTGGAAGCCTTTTCGGATGGTTGTGGGGCGATTTGGGAGCCTCCCAGGCGGCTTCGGACGCCCAGAAGACCGCCGTCTTGGAGCGTCGGGAAGCCGAAAAGAGGAGAACCCCAAAATTCACCAAAAACCAATAGAAAATTAAGGATTTGTGCCTCTTGGGGCCTTCTTGGGAGTGCTCTTGGAGGCCTCTTTGGGGCCGTCCTGGAGGCCTCTTGGGCCATCTTGAGGTCACGTCGGTCACTCTTGGAGCGCTTTTGTGCTGTCTTGGGGGTCTCTGGGACGTCTCCGATGACCCCCCTGATCGCCCTAGGTGTGCTGGGAAGGCTTGGCAAAACGCCCTGCGAGGCCCGCGGGGCCGCTTCGAGGCCCGTCCGGAGGGCCCCAAAGCTCCAGATCCCGGGAGTCCGGTTTTGGGGGGGGGGGGTCCTCCCCGCCCAGGCTTGTAAAAATATAGGAGGAGGATAGATGTATTCACACACCTCTTCCTATTATATTTATAAAATCCGTGGGGACGGGGGAATCCTCCTCAAAACTATTTTGGCGAAGGACCTGTGAGCACCGCAGTCGTGAGTATAATCTTCGGTGGAGCTCCCTATGGGGCCACGAAACGTGTGAGGGGTGTGCCGACATGGGTGTGGCGGACGCATGCGGACGGTGCCTCTGGGGATTTCGGTGGAGCTCCCTATGGGGCCACGAAACGTGTGAGGGGTGTGCCGAAATGGGTGTGGCGGACGCATGTGGACGGTGCCAGTGGGGCTGTCGGTGGAGCCCCATATGGGGCCACGAAACGTGTGAGTGGTGTTCCGAAATGAGTGTGGCGAACGCATATGGACGGTGTCACTTGGCGCCGTCGGTGGAGGTCCTCGCGGGGCCACGAAACGTGTGAGGGGTGAGCCGAGTGTGGCGGACGCATGTGGACGGTGGCATTAGGGTTTTCGGTGGAGCTCCATGTGGGGCCACGAGACGTGTGAGGGGTGTGCCGAAATGGGTGGGGCGGACGCATGTGGACGGTGCAATTGGGGCCCTCGCTGGAGCCTCTTTTGCGGCCACGAAACGTGTGAAGGGTGTGCCGACATGAATGTGGTGGACGTATGTGGACGGTGCTATTAGGGTTTTGGATGGATTTCCCCCATGGGACTACGAAACGTGTGAGGGGTATGCCGAAATAGGTGCGGCGGGCTCATGTCGACGGTGCCATTAGGGCCATCGGTGGAGCTCCTTATGGGGCCACGAAACGTGTGAGGGGTGTGTTGAAAGAGGCATGGCGGATGCATATAGACGGTGCCAGTGGGGTTTTCGGTGGAGCTCCCATTGGGAGCACGAAACGTGTGAGGGGTGTGCCGACATGAGAGTAGCGGAGTCACGTGGACGGTGGTATTGGGATTTTCGGTGGAGCTCCTTATGGGGTCACGAATCGTGCGAGGGGCGTGCCGAAATGGGTGTGGCGGACGCACGTGGGCGGTACCAATTGGGCTTTCGATGGAGCTCCTTATGCGCCCACGAGAGTGTGAGGGGTGTGCCGAAATGGGTGCGGCGGGCGCACGTGGAAGGTGCCAGCGGGATGTTTGGTGGAGCTCCTTATGGGACCACGAAACGTGTGAGGGGGGTGCCGAAATAGGTGTGACAGACGCATGTGGACAGTGCTTTTGGTGTTTTCGGTGGAACTCCTTATAGGGCTACGAATCGTGTGAGGGAGCGGTGTGCCGAAATGGGTGCGGTGGACGCATGTGGGTGGTGTCATTGGAGCTTTCGGTGGAGCCCCTTATGGGGTCACGAATCGTGCGAAGGGTGTGCCGACATGAGCGTGGCCGACGCACGTGGACGGTGCCAGTGGGGTTTTCGGTGGGGCTCCCTATGCAGCCACGAAACGTGGGAGGGGTGTGCCGAAATGGGTGTGGCGGACGCATGTGGACGGTGGCATCGGGTCTTCGGTGGAGGAAGCGTGTGAGGGATGTGCCGAAATGGGTGTGCTGGAGGCATGTGGACGGTATTTCTGTGCCTTCGGTGGAGCTCTTTATGGGGCCACAAA